ATAGAAGCCTTTCACCCGAAGAAAGTGCGGCAGGGAGAACACCAGTCGGGCTTTTCACACCTTCTCTCCTTCGCAAGGTGCGGGGCTTTGGGGGGGACGCAACCCCGTTGCGAGAGCTTGTTGTATTTACTGCCGCTGCCGCTTCCCAGCCTGACCCTCATTTCCTGGCACCTGCCATGGGTTTCCAGAGTTGCTCGTCCAGGTGTCGCAGCGCTGCGTCTTGCTGGAGCGTTCAACCCTGCGCGGTTGGGTTAATAAGGACCAGGCTGTCAGACTGGTTGGCCCGAGGGGCTCCGTTGGCGTAATGCCCAGCCGGTACGCTGGAGTAAAGGACGTGGGCTTCACCTTTGGATGCGTCAGCTCTCTGGGGGCTGTGCTTGCCAACTCCCCTTGGTGCCCTCTTGTGCCTCCCTGGACTCGTGCTACGAGCAAGGCGTCGTTTCTGACGCGATTGGCCCCGCCCGCGCTCCCGCTGCTGAAACGGAGGCGTCCGTAGAAGCGCTAGGTAGCCAGCTCTAAAAACACTTCCTTCTTGCTTTGCCCTGGGAGCATTTGTTTCAGGGCAAGAGGCTGCCGAGGAACAGATTTGGATTATCACTTCAGGTTATATGAGGACTCCCAAGATTTTACACACAAACTAACAAAGAAACATCACGTACTTTCCTGCGTGTTTTTGTCAGTACATCTGTAAAAGATGCATCGTTCAGCTACGTTAGACACACGTACACGTAACGCAAAGACAAATTTATCCAAGAGCTTCCTCTGCCCTGCAGTCCTGGTCCTGATCTCCTGATTGTCTCTGATTTTGTATGACTTTTCTGAGGATACTGGTCACTGGAGGACTTACGTCCCGCCCTTTTAAAGGGGGAGCACTTGTGTGAGTTATATAGGGATTACGCATATATAATTACGGTTGTTAACGTACTGGTCAACGTGACAACCCTATAAAAGCAAACACAGAAACCAGAAGGCAAATCTTCACAATACTTACGCTCCTTTTTACTTACTTCGGTGTATATTTGTCTTTGTGCTTATATCCTTACCCACAGGCAGAGCTAGGCCTTAATGAGCACCACCAGAACGAAGTGATCAACTACATGCGCTTTGCTCGTTTCAAGCGTGGCCTGTGTCTCAAAACAGTGGATTCTTGCTTTCAGGACCTTAAGGACAGCAGGTACAGTGGAAGGCTGTTCTGAGCAAGAATAAAGCAAAATGTGCTAGCAACAGTTGCAGGTTTTAATGTTTTATGGATTTACTTTTCTCCTTTTACACTGTATGTATATTTGTCAAGTCCTTTGAAAATGAAGTCGTTCAAGTTCTCAGGCATTAACGTAGGTAATGACAGCGTGACGTTGCTTTGTATCTTGCTTCTGGTGTCTAACTTTGGTGCGAGACTGTGGCTGAAGTCCTATTTCTGATTGTAATGTTTCCAAGAGAAAACTTAAATGCGATAACCGACTAGTAGTGCCACAGTCGTCTAATAACTACTGACAGTGGGTATTTTCCGCAGGGCATTGCGTTATATGGGAGTGATTCCTGTGTTGTGAGGCCTCATAACTGCAAAACTGTTGCCCTTCTCATACACGACTCGTCTTGACTGCTCTCTTTAGGCTGGTTGAGGAGACCTTCACGGTTGATGAGGTGGTAGACATGCTGGATGGACTGCGGACTGTTGTACACAGCGAGGTGGAGTCGGAGCTCATAAATACGACTTACACCAATGTTCTGCTTCTGCGGCAGCTCTTTTCGCAGGCTGAGAAATGGTACCTTAAGTTACAGACAGACGTCTCTGAGTTGGAGAATCGGTAACACATATTGGGCTATACAGAATGCCTTTCACTAATAAGAAAACTACAGTGTTGACTTTTTACCTTCTTTTCCTACCCATAGAAAACCTATTCTTTTACTCTTGTGCCGGTGACGGGGTAGTTTCAAGACTTCCATCTGTAAAGTGGCAAGATACATGATCATTTTAAATTTGTCAGGAAGATGTTTTTATTGCTAATATTCCAACTTGAATGAATCCGCTAAAAGCAGGTGGTAGGATTTGAATAAAAGGCCTTTGTTGTCTGAGTAGATTATATTTTAACAAAGGATGCTAAATCTTTCAGTTCTAATGCTTATCCCATACCATTGCATGACACGATCTGTTGTATTTACCCCATTTGCATAGGACTTCATTTTGTACTTCTAACAGAAATCTCACGTGCAATACAGAGCATAGCATCAGCCTGGTAAAATGTGTTTCATAGCATAGCTCCTTTAGTAAATAAATGCCTCCCTTTATTTTTCTTTTCAAGAGAATTGTTGGAACAAGTTGCTGAGTTTGAAAAGTCAGAATTTACATCTTCAAACAAGAAGGTAGAGTTTATTTTAATCAAATCATAATCAAATGTCATGTGGAGTCACTGCAAGCGTTTAAAATACTTAATAAAATACCTGTGCTTAAGAGAGAAAAACAAAACAAACCCCCAAACCTCACCCTTTTTTCAAAACAATGTTTGAAGGTCTCCGAAAAGTGGCATTTTGCAGTTTGGCACCAAGGAGGCGCGTGCTGAATTGCCTTGGCTGTTTCCAGACTGCAGTTTCTGCACATCTGGGGCATGTCCCATAATCCTCCTTCCCATGTCAGCCAGACCAGGGGTGTGTTGGAGCCTCAGCTCCTGGGTTCCCCCTGGAAACTGGGGTAAGACCGAGACATTCGCTTGTCCCGACATGGAGCCAAGGCCGGAGAAGATTCCACAAGAGAGATATGACTACAGCTTATCTTGTACGATTCTGGCTGCACCTTATTTGATTTGCAGTGTAAAGGTGTATTTAGTTTACATATATACTTATATATTTTTATATATATTTGAATACTTAAAATATTTTTTCTGTTTTCCTTACTCCTTTGTCTTTTGGTTGCTGCAGCACCATTAATCTTTTGTAAATCCAAGTCTGCAGTCCTTTTATGTCTCTATGTGGTATGTTTAGCTGAAAGTGAGGTATATAACTTAAGAGCCAAGGTACCGGTAAAAAATGCATTTGAAATAAAAGGTCATTCTTTTTGCTTTGCAAAAGAGAGCTGAATTGACTGTCAGTAGTTATTTTGCAGACTAAAGGAATACTTTTCTTCTTCCTAGAAATCTGTATCATTGAAGTTTTTAACCTTTCTTGTTTCTTTAGCCCAGTGCAGATCTCATTAAACCAAAACTGGCTCCATTAAATGAAGGTGGGTCAGAGCTGCTAAACAAGGTAAGAACTTGTCTGCTCGTGCGGTTGTGGTCAGGGGGCAGTCTGCTTGTGCAGCTGAACTGCCTGCACAGTCCTATCTGTGTAACGTGCCTGCTGCTGGATGGGTGTCATGGTAAGGTACCCTGGAATGTCAACTAAAATATTACTAAATATTGTAAAGTATCTTGAATTTGCTGTACGGTTATGGCCCCTAACGTGTATTGCAGTATTGACCTTCCTTTTGCTAACGCATTTTGGCCTGTAACTATTTATTTTTTCCATTTAACAAGGTAAATTAGTAGAAACCAGTATTTAGGTTGTTCCGTGCAGCTGACTGACTTTCCAGGAAGGAAGTAAATTTAAAAATGTAGCGGGCTGAAATGGTTGGGTTATTGAACGTTTTCTGTGTCACTCAATCTTGCCACATTCAGTACTTTTTCTTCTGTTGGTTGATTAAATTCCTCCTAAAGAAACAGACAGTTAAAAAATTCCAATTTCCCGGTTTTTGAGAACATCTGATTTCCCACTTTGCTTAAGATCTTCAGGATTACAAAACATAGTCTCATATTTAATGTTATCAATATCTTTTATTAGGTATCAAACTCGTTTAGTTCAACTGGACTTTTTAAAAATGCCACGCTTGTTACGACACACTTTGACGTTCTGGGTAGTCAGGACCTTTAGAGAGGAGCTGCCTTTTCTGTCTTCTAGCCTGCATTGCCAAAACGGTCTGTCAAGTACAGTGTCTGGGTCAGATTGTTGATACCCATGAAGATAATGGAAGCATTCGAGAATTCAGACCTGTATTTTACTTACAGATCAATGTAGTTCTCTTCCAAAAATAATTTCAAAATCTCCCACCTTGACAATGTGCATTTGACGCTGGCTTTTCTCTCATTCAGAGTTTATCTACTGAATTTACTCTGGCTGATAAAACATGGTTGTTTCCTGTGACAGAGAACACGATTATCCAGTAACCTGGTATTTGTCTCTTTTACACAGGAGCTAGGAATAAATTCTTACCTGCCCGATGGTTGAAAATACAAACCATGAGCAGCAATGGATTTGCATCTCTGAACGTGCCATTTTCTGTACTGTGGTGCTTGACACTAACCAGATGCCGAGCTCACTAATCTCAGTTCAGCAAAGCACGTGCCACATTTAAGTGAACGGTCCTCTATATCTGCAGTACAATTGGAGACTTAAATTTCTTGTTGGCTGAGGCAGAAAAGACAATAAATAAATGGATTATGGGTATTTTTATCAAGGCCATTTTTCTAAGCATTTAGAAACTTGTTTGCTTTCCTAAGATATGAAGTGTTATTTTTTTACTTGAAATATTTGGAAATTTCAAAATGGCACAAGCGTGTTCACCTCTTTTTTCTCATTCGTTGACCCAAAGACAGTTGCTTGTCTTCAAGAAGAAAATGAAAAATTGAAGACCAGGCTCAAGACTATAGAAACACAGGTAAATTCTCTTTAAGCGTGGATACTGAATGCTGTTTACATATTAAAAAATATCTAATTAAGAATCCCCTGGTGGTTATTCTTATGTTTCCCATTAAAATATGTTTCTGAGGTTTTACATTTTCAACATATCGCAGGCTACAGCTGCACTAGATGAGAAGTCCAAGCTGGAGAAGTCGCTGAAGGATTTACAGATGATCCAGGGAGATCAAAAGGTAAAAATAATTATGATTTGCCCATCCCTGTATAACACAGCTGGTGCCTGTACACCTGAAAGGTTGGTCTGTATGGTGTGTCTCTCTTCTGGCAAACACAAAAGTTCGAGTTATTATTGTCTGTTATTATATTATTATTGTCTGTTCCCTCTGGTCTGTCTGTCAGCAGGTAATCCAGAACATTAGCTGATGTTAGGACGTGTATTTTGTGCCACCTAGACTGTGATAAATTATGAACAGAAAGTTTGATTCCAGATTCTGTCAGGAAAGTAGTTTTCCAGAGTTCATATTCTCAGGGGGGATGTTTGTATTCACAGAGACGAGTTTATTTCTGTTTTTCTTTCCGTCTACTAGAGAATGAATGGTATCTAATCTGGGGTTTATAGCAACAGTAAAATGCTAGTTCTTTCAAGCATTTATCACACTTGATATGGACACGGACAAGCCAGACTTGCTGCTTCTGGCTTCAGACTTTAAAAACATAAATCCTGATTAAGTGTCCAGTGTCCTTGTCGCAGTTTAACCCCGGCCAGCAGCCAAGTACCACACGGCCGCTTGCTCACCTCCCCCCCTCCAGTGGAGGAGGAGAATTGGGGGAAAAGACAAGGAAGCTTGTGCATGGAGACAAGAACAATTTAACAACTGAATATAAATGAATAAAACAGCAAAACTAATAATACTAACAGTCCTAATAATACTCACAGTACTACTAATAATATGTAATGAAGATAATGGAAAATAAATTATACAACTGCTCAACGACCGATACACGGCCAGGTCCTGGGAAGTGGGGGTCAGGGCCAGAGACCCTGAGCGAGAGATCACACCAGAGTCCAAGCAAGCAACCACAGAAGCCAACCGACCCAGCAACTGACTAACTAATGCACTGTGAACAAATGAACAACAAATTAACTAATGAGCTATGGCCCCCCGGCCCACTCCCTGCTCACGTACTGAGCATGACGGTCTAGAGACTGAGATGCCCGTTTGGTCAGTGTGGGTCAGCTGTCTGAACCATCTCCCCTCCCCGCGGCTTGCAATGAGAAAGTTGGGAGCACAGCTGCAGTTTCAGAAGCTGAAAAGAACTTGAATTGGTGCAAACACTCGTCAGCACCAACTGAAAAACCACTTTATTAGTGCTATCTCAGGGCAAATCCAAAACATGACCTCCTACCAGCCCGTGAAGAAAATTAGCTCTGTCCTGACTAAAACCAGCACCGTCCTGTATTCTTAAACATCCGTTGAAGTTCTGTTACAAGTGTCAGGGATCGTGGGTCAGGTGGCAGATGTTTGCTTTTTGTGTAGTTCTGTCCATATCAGTGTGCTGTCTAAAATGGTTTGGTTTGGCTTTACTACTTGAGGTTCTTAAACCTTTTTTGTAAGTGAGGACTCGAACATGGTGAGTTGCTGCTGCAGGAAAAAAACCCCAGCCATAAAAAGCCAGAAGTCATGCAGTTTGACACAGATAAATCTGTTCAGGTCACCTTAGTACTTTTTTAAGCTTGTATGTTTATTTTGTCAGTAATTTTCTGAAGTTGTTCGTATGTGATTGTTTTCAAATTTAAAACATTTCAGTTCAAACTTTTACCAAAAATTGGAACACTTAATCTCATTATTTTGAGAAACTTGACTTTTTAAAATTCCTGCAGTATTTACAGATTTGGAAGTGAAGTTCAATATCATAAAATGTTTCCACTTTAATTTTCATATTTTAATCATGATTTCTTTTTATTTTGCTTTCTAACTGGTTCGTGGTATGTACTTGGCTTTCTTAATATGTTATAATGTCCTAATTTGCTCTCTAATTTGTAATTTTCTTCTCCAGCTCTTACATTTTCTATATCCAGGCAGATATATATGTTGTCAAAACCAGCAAGTAGTTGTAGTGCTGAAATGTACTACTTTATTTAATCAATTAAGTATTAGTAGTTTGGCGAAAAGGCTGCATTTTTTCTGGTTTCACTCTGTATTTTTATAGGATGGGTGTCCATAAAACCATATGGACACAGCTCCTCATTAAAGCAGTAGTTTTCAAGCTCTTTGGACAAACAAATGACTGCCAAACCACAAATGGTTATTAAGGACCAACTCTTAGCTCAGTTCTACCTTTTTTTCCTCCCCCTTGTTTTTGGGGTTTTTGTCAATAATTAATATGGTTCCACACATCAGATGTGAACGACAGTTTGGGAGTAACTGCTCTGTTGGATCAGTTTAACTTGAGGATTTAGAATTTTTACAGAACTGACATATGTCACAGTTTAGAAAAATGGTCACTGTTCTGATCTGAAGCAGTCTACAACGTAGTGCTTTTCAGCACTGCAGCCCTGACTGTCTCCAAATTCAAAATAAGCTTTTCCTCTGCACAGGTACTATTTATCAGGTGGGTTTAGTTCTAGTTTTCTGTCCTTTTTAAGGTGCTGTTGGTTCAGCCTCCTCCCGAGTCATTACACTTTTGAGAGTCTGAAGTTGAGCTTTTAACCCTGAGAGGGGTTTTTTATTATTTATTTAAAAGGAAATCCATAGAACAGTTACATGAACATAATGTTTTGTGACCCAGAACTGATGGCCAGAAGAGTTTGGGTCGTTTCTCCTCACAAGGAGACAGGAGAGTTGCGTCACAAGCGACTGGAGGCAGTGTTGGTAATGCATCTCAGAACAGCGTAGCCTCGGTACCCGATTGGTAACGCGAGCCTCAACGCTTTCATCCCTTCCTACCTGTATTACACTGACAGCTTGTGACACACCTGTGATATGTTATCTGCTCTACAGATACGTTATCGCATAGATATGCAGATCTTGTACAGAAATAGTAAATTACAGTTTATTTCTGTACATTTCTAAATAACTTCTTGTGATATGCTTCGTCCTGTGGCTTCACCTAATTCCTGAGGAAGTGCAGTACAAGAACTTGAAATTTCACCTTGGCAGAGAAGACATTCCAGGCCTCTTTAAAATGCATTTATTAACAATTTTTTTAAGTTATAAATGAGTGCTTTAATTTTTTTTTTTTAGTTAAAACACTTCTAATTTAGGCTTTAATAATGTGAACATAATAATTAAAAATTAAGGTGTATCCTCTTGATGTGACATTTTGCACTAACATTTTAAGTATTTCTTCTACTGAAGTCTCATACGAACCAGGATATCACTGAACTGGAGAATAAAGTGGCAGCTTTGAAGAGCCAGTTTGAGAAGACGTTGAATGATTCTACTGCCAACCAAAAATTCTTGGAAGAGAACTTGGTGACAACAAAACACGACTTGCTGAAGGTTCAGGACCAGCTATCCACAGCTGAAAAGGTTAGTGTTTTATTGTGATGTGAAGGCCAGGTCCTTACTCGCATTTTAACTGGGTAGTACCTTAACAAGCATACACTAGAGGATGCAGAGTTTACTGGGTCACGGGCGTGCCTCTGTATTTTTGTTATGTCAGTGGAAAAACACGTTATACATGAACTAGCAAAAACGCAGCAGCGTGATTATAATGAGAGGAATACTTAAAAACTTCCCATTTGCCTGCGTAGAAATTTTGGAATTACAAGGGTATTCCCAGTCTTCAGAAGACTTTTAGCCTGATTTCACTAGGAAGTAAATTTGAATAAGTTGGAGAAACTACTATTCGGAAACTTGAGGAGGAAAAGCAAGTCGCCTTTTTTAAAAAGCATATTAGCCTGGTTTTCTTAACATTTTAGTAATAGGTTGATGTTGTTACGTAGGAATTGGAGAAGAAATTTCAGCAAACAGCTGCCTATCGCAACATGAAAGAGATCCTGACAAAGAAGAATGAACAGATAAAGGATCTGCGTAAGAAGCTTTCCAAGTAAGCTACGCTGTTCTCTCTGTCCGAAGGGGATCCTTGTTCTGGATCCATGTTCCGTTTTGTTTTTATAAATGCGAAGCTGTCTCTAAAACAGACTACAAATTTTCCCTTAAAAAGGATTTCTAGTAGGCCGTTCCCTCAGTTTTGACAAGCCAATCCTTTTTGTGGATGCTAGGAGCATAGGACTGATGTGTGCAACCGCAGTTGCTGTGTAGCAAGTCTTGAGG